ATTGTGTATTTAAAACACATGCAGATTATTAATAGATGGAAATTTTTACATGCATAATTATTACATTTAGGCCTATATTTGAGTGTGTTTATTCGGCAATCTTTAAATAACTGTTTGCATTGAGAGAGCAACCTTTTAAGTAGGCCTACTCCAATCATTTAAATTAGGGAAAGAACAACTAAATCCTAAATTTCAACTACTATTATACAATGGCAAATACTTAGACCAATATGAGTTTTTCATTGACAAATGATGATCCCAATATCTAGAAAGTGGTGGATAAAATGGTGCTATTACATAATACAGTTTTAATCAATATGCATAATACAATTTATTCTGCCTGACCAGTATATCAGTCTAGTATCTGGCCTCTGATCACATTAGTATGCATGCATGCTATCAGTATTTAAGAGTTTCTCCTAACTTTACACTCTTAAAAATTAAGGTTCTTTATTGGCATCAATGGTTTTATGAAGTACCTTGAACATCCATGGAACCTTTCAAATGCAGAAAAGGTTCTTTATATTCGAAAAACATTCTTTAGATTTTGAAAATGTTCTTTTGGGAACAAAAATGGTTCTTTGATGGAATCACTGCAAAAAAGGGAAAGAACAACTAAATCCTAAATTTCAACTACTATTATACAATGGCAAATACTTAGACCAATATGAGTTTTTCATTGACAAATGATGATCCCAATATCTAGAAAGTGGTGGATAAAATGGTGCTATTACATAATACAGTTTTAATCAATATGCATAATACAATTTATTCTGCCTGACCAGTATATCAGTCTAGTATCTGGCCTCTGATCACATTAGTATGCATGCATGCTATCAGTATTTAAGAGTTTCTCCTAACTTTACACTCTTAAAAATGAAGGTTCTTTATTGGCATCAATGGTTTTATGAAGAACCTTGAACATCCATGGAACCTTTCAAATGCAGAAAAGGTTCTTTATATTCGAAAAACATTCTTTAGATTTTGAAAATGTTCTTTTGGGAACAAAAATGGTTCTTTGATGGAATCACTGCAAAAACACCCTTTTGGAACCTTTATTTTTAAAGAGTGTACCCTTAGAAATAATATCACAAATCAATGTTTGAATCAAAGATTTTAAGTGCACTGAGTGCAATATCCGTTGAAAAAACTTCAGGTTTAACAGTAGGATTCTCATCTGAACCTTTAAAGTTCACCTTTTTGACTAAGGTGACAAGGGACTGAGGGACACTTTTTCTTCTGTTCCTGTTCAAGTATGTTAATTGGCTAGAGCATGTGTTTTTAAAAACCTAATGAAGGCAATTCTGAGTGTCAGGATGCATTCAAATATTTTAAATATTCTTTCATGTATCTGATCAAGGGAATCCTTGACCCACTTTTCAAAGGCCTGTAACTGGATCTAAAGTGTGATAGGAATAGGATGCTATTCCAGCGATTGATTCGAGACGGATAGCACACACTAGGGTGTGTTGGGCTTGTTGGCAGATTCCCCACAGTCCTCGGCTGTCTGTGTGACCTCTCGCTTACCAGTGAACTTGCATAGTTTCCACAGCCTGCTACAACACAGCAATGCCAACAGATTACTGCAGCTTAGTCAAGATAAACACTGCATGCGTGCCCCCCCCCCCTTTCTTTCTTTCAGTCATGGCTCAATTTATGCATAGTAAATACATGATTGGAGTTACTCTAAATGTGGCTTTTACAATTTCAAATTATATGCCATTAATTTTTGTATTTACATGTTCATTATTTTGAACCAGCCTAAATTGGTTTGCTTGTCTTAATCTGGTCACCAGGCAGGTTTACACTGGTAACTATAGTTTGATGGTTTTAGACAGGCAATAGAACTTAGTCAGTTTAGACACCGTATTGAATTTAATGCGGATGAAAACGAGGCTGTGATAGTGAAACTTTGGGTGGCCTACAATTACAATTACATCGGGTATCGTTTTCAAAAAACGTGCACTTTGAAAGTTGAAACCCGTTTTCAAAAGTTTGCCTTGTCAGGCCCCAAAACGCAGTTGTCGTGTAAATCAGTGGTTCCCAACCCTGGTCCTGGAGGCACCCCAACACTGCACGTTTTGCATGTCTCCTTAATCAAACACACCTGATTCAGGTCATCGGCTCGTTAGTAGAGACTCCAAGACCTGAAATTGGTGTGTCAGAGAAAGGAGACATGCAAAATGTGCAGTGTTGGGGTGCCTCCAGGAACAGGGTTGGGAACCACTGGTGTAAATGAACGTCCAAAACGCATACGTTTTCCGTTTTTAGTTGAAAACAGTGATGGGTAAACACCCCTAGGCTTTACAATGGCACTTCAAAATTGCTTGGTAGAGTTCTTGTCTAGTTGCAGTTATATTCAGAAAGACTTTCATCAGCTGAATAGTCGGCATGTTGTTAAACAACAGTAGGCCATTGAACGCGCTGTACTTCAGTCCCTCACAGCCTCATTTTCATTCCTATCAGAAATAAAATAGGCCTATGGTGCTGCTCTGATTATAGTATTATTTTGACATATTTGTCTGAAAACAAACCACACGAGGGAGACAAAATATAAATTTTCATCACATTCATGCACGTATGTAAGTTAGTTTTATCTGGAAAAATAGCTAAAAACATTTATTACCTTAAATAGCTACTTTGTTTACCTGATTTAACACATATTTTTGTACAAATCAATGTGTTTTGTGTTTTAGATTTAGTGGTGGTAAAACGGTTTTTTTTTTTTACTTTTGAATTTTTCAGTGTACAAATATTAGTTGTTAAACAACAGTAGGCCATTGAACGCGCTGTACTTCAGTCCCTCACAGCCTCATTTTCATTCCTATCAGAAATAAAATAGGCCTATGGTGCTGCTCTGATTATAGTATTATTTTGACATATTTGTCTGAAAACAAACCACACGAGGGAGACAAAATATAAATTTTCATCACATTCATGCACGTATGTAAGTTAGTTTTATCTGGAAAAATAGCTAAAAACATTTATTACCTTAAATAGCTACTTTGTTTACCTGATTTAACACATATTTTTGTACAAATCAATGTGTTTTGTGTTTTAGATTTAGTGGTGGTAAAACGTTTTTTTTTTTTTTACTTTTGAATTTTTCAGTGTACAAATAATGTACCTTCTGTAACTCACTTTATCTACTATTTATTTTTACCTCTCACTTATCATTATAACTTTCTCTTTGATGAATGTTTGTCTGTGAAGGTCACTGATGCTGCTGAAGATATTACGCCTATCCAGTCTGATGAAGGACCCAATGCAATGACACAGCTGGCCAAGAGAGTAAACCTGGAAAATCAATATTATGCATAATTATTTTATTAAATGTAGTTTCTGTTTTGGAAACAGCTTTGGAAAGAAAGAAAAAACTACTGCAAACTGTAAAAGTGTGCTTGTAATATATCCACAAATGTTTAACTAAAAAGATGTTATACAGTTTTTGGATCAATTATAATATGTCATAGAGGCCACTCCTGAAACTGCTTGAAATTTCATATCAGTTTAACATTTAGACATACTGATGTTTGTTGGTCTGAGTCATTGTGTTCATTGCTCAGATGCAGGGAGCCGGAGCTAAAGGTTGGAGAAGTGTTTCGTCTCTATTCACCAAGGATGATGAACACCAGCTTCTGGAGGCAGACAATCAGCCGGCAGCAGATCAGTGAGTGTTGTGATGCATTTAGTTCATTTTTCTATTGGGGAAGGCATGTTGACCAAATGTTTTAGTCACTGATTGTTCTATATTACAACTCCTTGCAGCAGACAGAAAATATATAAGTACCATTTCACACGGAAAATGATCCGTCATTACTGTAATATACTTAAATTTTAAACATTTAAATTATCTGAGCAATGTTTGGGGTCCGTAAGATACTTTAATGTTTTTGAAAGAAGTCTCTTATGCTCATCAGGTTTGCATATATTTGGTCAAAAATATTGCAAAATATCATTACAATTTCAAATATCTGTTTTCTCTTTGAATAAATTATCAAATGCAATTTATTTCTGTGATCAAAGCTGAATTTTCAGCATCATTACTCCAGTCTTCAGTGTCACATGATCTTCAGAAATCATTTTAATATGCAGATTTGCTGCTCAAGAAACATTTCTGATTACTATCAATGTTGAAAAACACCAATTTTTTGTGGAATCTGTTATATTTTATTTTTCCGGATTCTTCAATGAATAAAAAGTTCAAAAGAGCAACCTTTATTTGAAATAGAAATCTTGTGTAACATTATACATGTCTTTACTGTCACTTTGATCAATGTAATGCATCCCTGCTGAACAAAAGTATTATTTTCTTAAAAATATATATTACTAACCCCAATTTTTTTAACAGTACTGAATATATTTCTTGCGAAAACGAATTCTTTGATGAATAAAACAATCACAAGAACAGCATTTATTTGAATTAGAAAACAGTTGTAGAATTGTAAATGTCTTTGCTGTATGTATATATTTACTTACCACAAATTTTTTGAACAGTACTGAACATGTTTCTTGCAAAAACATTTAGTAGATCAAAATGAATTGAATCCCAAGTTGCCTTTATCATCTTTCCAGTCCACTGGCAGTGAAGCCAGAAGAGCCTCCTCGACCCAACAAGTGCAGCACTGGATTCTGGGATAACTTTGCGACTAAGTGGCACCAAGCTGCTGCGATGAGGCAAGTGGAGGTCACGGAGGCAGGAGGCGACGGCAGTGAGGAGGTGGGCAGCGAGAGCGGGGCGAGAGCAGAAGACGGAGAAAACCAGGTCGAGCAGGAGGCCAAGGCGGGCGACGGCGGCACGGGAAACAGCTTCTCCAAATACGCCACGCTCGGAGGAGAGAGTGAAGACACACCGGCCTTCAAGTGGAACTTTGTCACCAGCAAACTGGCTGAGCTGAAGACCAAAAGCATGGCCAAGAGTAACTAGCCAACAGAGAGAGCAGGTTATCGCAGTTCAGACCACAGGGGCCACAGTGCTTCATATGAGCCTTATCACTCAGATGTACGGTGATCACATTTCACCAAACCCCTTTAAAAGCATCGACCGTGACCGACACTGTGGCCTCTCTGGGCTTGAACTGGTTGGCATTCATGTGGAAACTGCTGGTTATGGGAAACGTCTGTTCAGTAAAGGTGATGTGTGTAATCTTTAGTGATAAAATACTGAATCATCATTATTTTTGCAATTCCATTTGGTGCAGAAGAAATTACACACTTCACTTAAAAAAATAAATAAAAAATGCTGTAAAAAATCAGGGAAGTATGAGAATGAAGTATTAATATATATAGATAAAAGGTTTATATAGCTCAATAGAAAAAGTTCTAACCCGAGAATATTTGTCAAAAATTATCATTAAAATAAAATGATGACTATTTTCTTTTTGTCGTGAAAATAGTTTAGTTTTAGTTTTAGTAATAATGCCTAGAAATACCCTTGCAACCAGCCAGAACAGCTTAGCAACACCCTAGCAACCATTTTTAATGCTAAAATACTGAATCGTCATTATTTTTGTAGTTTATAAATCACACACTTCTTACACACTTAAAAAAAGCCAAAAAATAAATAAAATAAAACATCAGGGAATTAGATGAAAAGTTTAATATAACTTGAGAAAAAAGTTCTATAGATATAGATAAAACGTTTGTGTAACTCAAATAAAAAAAGTTCTAACCCAAGAATATTTGTCAAAACTTGTGCTGTTAATTGTGCAAGTTAAAGTGAAACTATTATTTTGTCAAGTAAAATCAGTTTCCTACAAAGAAGTTTAAGCTCAATAACAGCACCTTGTAACACCCTAGCAACCAGTCAGAACAGCTTAGCAACACCCTAGCAACCAGTCTGAACAGCCTAGCGACCATCCACTGCAATCAGCCAAGTACTCTAGAAGTGAATGATGTCATAATGATATGAATACATTTATTATTTTCATTGATTTATGTCATCAGGTATAAGTAATTGAGGATTAAGTGCAATAATAATTAGCCCAGTAAACATTAAGATTAAACGCGTTCTGAACACCCCAGAGGAACAATCTCACCAAGAATAAAGTAGTATGAATCAGATCAATGATTTTGCTATTTTATATAGTGTATATCATGTACAATACTTTTTATGTATTGTATATTTAGAAATGCAATTGATAAAGTTGGGGAATGTTTAATTTACTATTTTATTTTAAAGTGTGGAAGTTTACAGAATATGTGTCTGGTGTAGTTCATGCAGTGTGCTGTCTGCTTCATAATGTTCTTACACATTGTTTAGTCTCTTAAGTCCTGAAGTCTAATGTAAGTGTTTATGCACAATGTCTCAAAGGTGCTTTGTGTCTGCTGTCATTGAGTCTCTCTGTCTTTGTTCACAGTCTGCTCTGTTGTCAAAAGTCACATTGAATGATGATTTTCCTGCTTTGATGTTTTATTTTATGATATAATAAAGTTATGTTGCAAAAACACGTTGTTTTGAGATTTTATTATATTTAAATAATATTACAGGGGTTTGAGGGGTTATAGTTTTCCTGCTATTGCCAATAGTGAACAGCAGGTGTCAGTGCAGGCTATAACAAACAACACCAAAAGTACTGGGAAAAATACCATTTCAACATGACTTATCAGCAAACTAGGTGATGGGAAGTGACTGTCATTAACGTCCGAAAGTTAGATTGCGAAACTTGTGCGACTCTATTTCAGACGATTCATTAAAAATTATCGGTCCAAAAGAACGATTCGTTCACGAACTGAGCATCATAAAGTTGCTAACATGGTCCATAATAAATACAAAATCAAAATAGCCTATATAGCATACAAATAGCCATTTTGCATTTTACAGCTGTTTTGACCTTGGCCCATAGTTGTTGATTTTACTACTAAATTATCATAAATATATGTGATGGGAAATGCGTTTGTGATATGAACTTATTGGCTTATTTCGTGTCGGAGTGACTGTGCCAATTTTTAATTGAGTAACTATCAATTTAAATAAAAATCAATGCAGACTCGAGTCGCGAACTGATTCAGTTTGGTGAATTGGTTCATCCAGTGTTCACTTTAAAGAACCTGTTCAAAAGAACGATTCGTTCACGAACCGAGCATCACTAAAGCTAGCTGCTGAGATGGTCCATAACAGTTTTTTTTATCTTGTCTTTATTTATGATTTTGATAATTGTACTGCCTTAATGTTTTAATGTTTGTATTGTTTAATTAAATAAAAGGTTCTGTACTGGAATTCATAAATAAATAAATAAATGGTCCATAACAGTATCATATTGTACAAGAAAGCATGCTTTGTTCATATTCTTCTCACAAGGTTTGCTGCGAACCCGACGATTCAATAGAAAAGAACAATTCGTTCACGAACCGAACATCATGAAGTTAGAAGCAGAAAGCAAAACATGTTTTGTTTATATTCTCACAAGTCTGCACAAGCTCCCAAATTGATAGACATTTAGCATTTTACTGTTTCTTTTGACCTGGCCCAACCACCTTCCTACTTAAATCCAGATTTCCTTCAAACAATAAGGTAAGTAAACGGAACAGTTTTATCAATTGGTTTTATTTTTGACCTCTTTGGCTAATTTCACATTTGTTACCACAGTTTTATTGTATCCAAACAATAAACAGCTAGTATTTTGGTGGTAAATGTCACGCTCATGACTCGATTAGAGGTCAACTATTGTCTTTGCTGGACTGCTCAGATCCATGAGACAGACTGGAACTGCTGTTTTTATTGTCTCACAGTAATATAACCCTCTCTAAGCCTGTCATAACATATGGCTCCATGCAGGATTTGGTCGCTTCGCTTACATAGTTTATGGCCTGCAGGTATGTTTTTCTCATACAGGTGTTGTGGGAAGAAGTTACAGCCCTGCACTGAAACTGCTTGAAATTTCATATCAGTTTAACATTTAGACATACTGATGTTTGTTGGTCTGAGTCATTGTGTTCATTGCTCAGATGCAGGGAGCCGGAGCTAAAGGTTGGAGAAGTGTTTCGTCTCTATTCACCAAGGATGATGAACACCAGCTTCTGGAGGCAGACAATCAGCCGGCAGCAGATCAGTGAGTGTTGTGATGCATTTAGTTCATTTTTCTATTGGGGAAGGCATGTTGACCAAATGTTTTAGTCACTGATTGTTCTATATTACAACTCCTTGCAGCAGACAGAAAATATATAAGTACCATTTCACACGGAAAATGATCCGTCATTACTGTAATATACTTAAATTTTAAACATTTAAATTATCTGAGCAATGTTTGGGGTCCGTAAGATACTTTAATGTTTTTGAAAGAAGTCTCTTATGCTCATCAGGTCTGCATATATTTGGTCAAAAATATTGCAAAATATCATTACAATTTCAAATATCTGTTTTCCCTTTGAATAAATTATCAAATGCAATTTATTTCTGTGATGCGCAGCTGAATTTTCAGCATCATTACTCCAGTCTTCAGTGTCACATGATCTTCAGAAATCATTTTAATATGCAGATTTGCTGCTCAAGAAACATTTCTGATTACTATCAATGTTGAAAAACACCAATTTTTTGTGGAATCTGTTATATTTTATTTTTCCGGATTCTTCAATGAATAAAAAGTTCAAAAGAGCAACCTTTATTTGAAATAGAAATCTTGTGTAACATTATACATGTCTTTACTGTCACTTTGATCAATGTAATGCATCCCTGCTGAACAAAAGTATTATTTTCTTAAAAATATATATTACTAACCCCAATTTTTTTAACAGTACTGAATATATTTCTTGCGAAAACGAATTCTTTGATGAATAAAACAATCACAAGAACAGCATTTATTTGAATTAGAAAACAGTTGTAGAATTGTAAATGTCTTTGCTGTATGTATATATTTACTTACCACAAATTTTTTGAACAGTACTGAACATGTTTCTTGCAAAAACATTTAGTAGATCAAAATGAATTGAATCCCAAGTTGCCTTTATCATCTTTCCAGTCCACTGGCAGTGAAGCCAGAAGAGCCTCCTCGACCCAACAAGTGCAGCACTGGATTCTGGGATAACTTTGCGACTAAGTGGCACCAAGCTGCTGCGATGAGGCAAGTGGAGGTCACGGAGGCAGGAGGCGACGGCAGTGAGGAGGTGGGCAGCGAGAGCGGGGCGAGAGCAGAAGACGGAGAAAACCAGGTCGAGCAGGAGGCCAAGGCGGGCGACGGCGGCACGGGAAACAGCTTCTCCAAATACGCCACGCTCGGAGGAGAGAGTGAAGACACACCGGCCTTCAAGTGGAACTTTGTCACCAGCAAACTGGCTGAGCTGAAGACCAAAAGCATGGCCAAGAGTAACTAGCCAACAGAGAGAGCAGGTTATCGCAGTTCAGACCACAGGGGCCACAGTGCTTCATATGAGCCTTATCACTCAGATGTACGGTGATCACATTTCACCAAACCCCTTTAAAAGCATCGACCGTGACCGACACTGTGGCCTCTCTGGGCTTGAACTGGTTGGCATTCATGTGGAAACTGCTGGTTATGGGAAACGTCTGTTCAGTAAAGGTGATGTGTGTAATCTTTAGTGATAAAATACTGAATCATCATTATTTTTGCAATTCCATTTGGTGCAGAAGAAATTACACACTTCACTTAAAAAATTAATAAAAAATGCTGTAAAAAATCAGGGAAGTATGAGAATGAAGTATTAATATATATAGATAAAAGGTTTATATAGCTCAATAGAAAAAGTTCTAACCTTAAAATACTGAATCATCATTATTTTTGCAATTCCATTTGGTGCAGAAGAAATTACACACTTCACTTAAAAAAATAAATAAAAAATGCTGTAAAAAATCAGGGAAGTATGAGAATGAAGTATTAATATATATAGATAAAAGGTTTATATAGCTCAATAGAAAAAGTTCTAACCCGAGAATATTTGTCAAAAATTATCATTAAAATAAAATGATGACTATTTTCTTTTTGTCGTGAAAATAGTTTAGTTTTAGTTTTAGTAATAATGCCTAGAAATACCCTTGCAACCAGCCAGAACAGCTTAGCAACACCCTAGCAACCATTTTTAATGCTAAAATACTGAATCGTCATTATTTTTGTAGTTTATAAATCACACACTTCTTACACACTTAAAAAAAGCCAAAAAATAAATAAAATAAAACATCAGGGAATTAGATGAAAAGTTTAATATAACTTGAGAAAAAAGTTCTATAGATATAGATAAAACGTTTGTGTAACTCAAATAAAAAAAGTTCTAACCCAAGAATATTTGTCAAAACTTGTGCTGTTAATTGTGCAAGTTAAAGTGAAACTATTATTTTGTCAAGTAAAATCAGTTTCCTACAAAGAAGTTTAAGCTCAATAACAGCACCTTGTAACACCCTAGCAACCAGTCAGAACAGCTTAGCAACACCCTAGCAACCAGTCTGAACAGCCTAGCGACCATCCACTGCAATCAGCCAAGTACTCTAGAAGTGAATGATGTCATAATGATATGAATACATTTATTATTTTCATTGATTTATGTCATCAGGTATAAGTAATTGAGGATTAAGTGCAATAATAATTAGCCCAGTAAACATTAAGATTAAACGCGTTCTGAACACCCCAGAGGAACAATCTCACCAAGAAAAAAGTAGTATGAATCAGATCAATGATTTTGCTATTTTATATAGTGTATATCATGTACAATACTTTTTATGTATTGTATATTTAGAAATGCAATTGATAAAGTTGGGGAATGTTTAATTTACTATTTTATTTTAAAGTGTGGAAGTTTACAGAATATGTGTCTGGTGTAGTTCATGCAGTGTGCTGTCTGCTTCATAATGTTCTTACACATTGTTTAGTCTCTTAAGTCCTGAAGTCTAATGTAAGTGTTTATGCACAATGTCTCAAAGGTGCTTTGTGTCTGCTGTCATTGAGTCTCTCTGTCTTTGTTCACAGTCTGCTCTGTTGTCAAAAGTCACATTGAATGATGATTTTCCTGCTTTGATGTTTTATTTTATGATATAATAAAGTTATGTTGCAAAAACACGTTGTTTTGAGATTTTATTATATTTAAATAATATTACAGGGGTTTGAGGGGTTATAGTTTTCCTGCTATTGCCAATAGTGAACAGCAGGTGTCAGTGCAGGCTATAACAAACAACACCAAAAGTACTGGGAAAAATACCATTTCAACATGACTTATCAGCAAACTAGGTGATGGGAAGTGACTGTCATTAACGTCCGAAAGTTAGATTGCGAAACTTGTGCGACTCTATTTCAGACGATTCATTAAAAATTATCGGTCCAAAAGAACGATTCGTTCACGAACTGAGCATCATAAAGTTGCTAACATGGTCCATAATAAATACAAAATCAAAATAGCCTATATAGCATACAAATAGCCATTTTGCATTTTACAGCTGTTTTGACCTTGGCCCATAGTTGTTGATTTTACTACTAAATTATCATAAATATATGTGATGGGAAATGCGTTTGTGATATGAACTTATTGGCTTATTTCGTGTCGGAGTGACTGTGCCAATTTTTAATTGAGTAACTATCAATTTAAATAAAAATCAATGCAGACTCGAGTCGCGAACTGATTCAGTTTGGTGAATTGGTTCATCCAGTGTTCACTTTAAAGAACCTGTTCAAAAGAACGATTCGTTCACGAACCGAGCATCACTAAAGCTAGCTGCTGAGATGGTCCATAACAGTTTTTTTTATCTTGTCTTTATTTATGATTTTGATAATTGTACTGCCTTAATGTTTTAATGTTTGTATTGTTTAATTAAATAAAAGGTTCTGTACTGGAATTCATAAATAAATAAATAAATGGTCCATAACAGTATCATATTGTACAAGAAAGCATGCTTTGTTCATATTCTTCTCACAAGGTTTGCTGCGAACCCGACGATTCAATAGAAAAGAACAATTCGTTCACGAACCGAACATCATGAAGTTAGAAGCAGAAAGCAAAACATGTTTTGTTTATATTCTCACAAGTCTGCACAAGCTCCCAAATTGATAGACATTTAGCATTTTACTGTTTCTTTTGACCTGGCCCAACCACCTTCCTACTTAAATCCAGATTTCCTTCAAACAATAAGGTAAGTAAACGGAACAGTTTTATCAATTGGTTTTATTTTTGACCTCTTTGGCTAATTTCACATTTGTTACCACAGTTTTATTGTATCCAAACAATAAACAGCTAGTATTTTGGTGGTAAATGTCACGCTCATGACTCGATTAGAGGTCAACTATTGTCTTTGCTGGACTGCTCAGATCCATGAGACAGACTGGAACTGCTGTTTTTATTGTCTCACAGTAATATAACCCTCTCTAAGCCTGTCATAACATATGGCTCCATGCAGGATTTGGTCGCTTCGCTTACATAGTTTATGGCCTGCAGGTATGTTTTTCTCATACAGGTGTTGTGGGAAGAAGTTACAGCCCTGCAACAATAACTCATTACAGCAGACACATAATGCTAATGGGAACAGAAGTGAAATGAGTTTGGATGTATTGACTTTCAGTTTTACTGCAATTGTCCAAAATGCTGGCCATGCTTACGTAACGCTTAAAATGTACCATTATGTGTCTTTACAAATATTACATACAAATATTGTAGACAATAGATAGAACAAAAACATGTTTTTCCCCCCCACATTATTTTATGAATTTAGTTATTTTAATGCATAAAATAGAACTGGAAAATGAACATAAAATCAATGTAACTTTTTTATTCTGTATACAGTGCACTGCATTCTTGAACTGTAATCGAGTGAGTATCATGTTTATGGATAGATCTCATAAAAATATTTTTTTACATATTTTAGGAGCATATTTTTGCATGTTGACATTTTAAAATGACAATTACCCTTGTAATGAAAAAAATAAAAACATTTTATTTGTTGTACTATGTTTATGTATAAGAATAAAAATCATTTTGTTTGTGTTACAGTATTTTTTCTGGGATAATGTATCACACTAATGGGAATGTAAAGCGAATCATAATCATAAGAATAATGCAAATTACGAAAATGAGAATTTGGAGGTTAAATGTGCTTAAATGTTATGCAAATAACCTCACAATGTAAAAAATACATGCATACATACAGTACATACATAAAAAAGAAATTGTCTGTTTATTTATTTAAAAAAAAAGTTTAATAATGTTTTTGTCTATTGTACCACAACTGTAAAGTGTTCCATAAGTGAGTTCTGGAAAGGCTAATTAAACATGAATATTATTATTATTATTAAAAACAGGTACATTTATTATAATTAGCTAAATTTAATTTCTTAAAATTTCTCATTTTTCTCATTTGATTTTAGATAAAATGTTGCAAAATGTATTTATTTATTTATGAGATCTGAGATCTGAGATCTTTCTGCATTTCCTTTTCTTACAGCCTAGAGTTGAAAGAAAGAGTAGAGTCTCAGCCTCTTGTGAGGTACGACATCACCTCGAGTGAAATTATAAGACAAGCATAATAAAACACATACCAGCTCAGCCCAGACTTTAGTCATCCTAAAAAAGAAATTGTCTGTTTATTTATTTAAAAAAAAAGTTTAATAATGTTTTTGTCTATTGTACCACAACTGTAAAGTGTTCCATAAGTGAGTTCTGGAAAGGCTAATTAAACATGAATATTATTATTATTATTAAAAACAGGTACATTTATTATAATTAGCTAAATTTAATTTCTTAAAATTTCTCATTTTTCTCATTTGATTTTAGATAAAATGTTGCAAAATGTATTTGAGATCTGAGATCTTTCTGCATTTCCTTTTCTTCCAGCCTAGAGTTGAAAGAAAGAGTAGAGTCTCAGCCTCTTGTGAGGTACGACATCACCTCGAGTGAAATTATAAGACAAGCATAATAAAACACATACCAGCTCAGCCCAGACTTTAGTCATCCTCATGTAAAGCCGCCCTGCGCTGCAGACAGACATGCCTGCCAGCACCTGTGGGTGACATGGGCTCGTCTGCGAGGGTCTGTGACTCATGTTTGGAGGCAACAGGTCCATCTGGAAGATCTGTGTCTGAACAGAGCCACACAAACATGCATGTGCCATTTTACCTTACAAACACAGTTGCTAGACTGTGTTTGTAAGGTAAATGGCCAGGTGTAGTTTCCCATGATACAGACACAAATACAATTACTCCAGAGGACTACAGTGAACAAATGTTAGGGAAGTGTTGACCTCCTCACCTGCGTTTCTTCTCTGATGTGGCACAATTGCCCATTTGTTAGCGTTTGATGTCTCAGTAAAAGCCTTGCAGTCTAGCAACTGGACTAAACATGCAGGTTACACTTTAGTGGCTGTCCTTTCACATGAGGTGTAGAGAAAAACCTGTGATTTTGGGGAATAGTTGAACGTGGGAAGAAAATGTGCTGATTATTTATGCAGCCTAGCCTGCAGGCCACGGGAGCCGCTTCCTGAGAAACTCTCAGTAACTTTTTTGCTTGTTCATAGATTTCTAGAGATTACCAGCTCTTTCATCCCCCCGCGTAATATACAAGCGTAATGCTTAAAGACATTTTAGAACTGAACCAAAGTGTTGGGAAAGTGAAAAAGCCTGGAGGGGCTTATGAATAGCACTTTCCCATGAATCAAAAATAAATTGAGATGTTCTTTTTTGACATCAGCGGTATCAATACTATAATATATTGTTCTAATTTTATTTGTTGTATTACGTTTATGTAGATAATTTTTTTGTATTAGAGTAATTTGTAGAATCGTGTGTATGGATAAAATTTTTTAAACATATTTTAGGACAGTATTTTTGCATGTTGACATTATATTAATGACAATTATGCACATCTGTCATACAAAACAAATCTATAATATTCAAATTTTATTTGTTGTACTATATTTATGTTAAAATAAAATGTAAAAATGTACTTTTTTTTTGCAGTATCGTGTTTCTTTTTAACATTTTTAAGACCATATGTTTGCATTTTGACATTATATTAATAACAATTATGCAAATTTGTAATGCAAAAAAATCTATATTGTATTATTCATATGTTATTTGTTGTGCTGAGTTTATGCAAATAAATACAATTATTTTATTTGTATTACAGTAATTGTTTTCCTGTAATTATGTATTACAGCACTGGAAATGTAGTGCAAATGATAATGAAATGCATAATGGTATGATACTGGGGAATTAAATGTGCTTAATTGTCATGAAAATAATGTTACAGAATACATTTTGTGGAAATTGTAATACTATGAGCACATAAAATAAATAAAGGGAGGAAAGTTTTTCATGCTCATATCTATGGCATCACTGTGAAAACCCGCTTTTGAAATCTTAATTCATAAGAGACTGAAGAATAAATTGTGAATGTGAGATTTGGCACATACTTGCCATACAATCAGCATGTTCCTTTGGAAGTTATTTACATGACCTATTTATGTGCAAGAGAGCTGACAATGTTTCACATTGATTTCTCTGTATGTTATTTGTCAGTTTTACTGTCATAGACGTCAGACTCAGGATGACGCTTGTTGGGAAGCAAATGGGAATCATGGGAGGTGAGCTTTTTACCCCATGACACTCATTCACAAATCAATATTGATTTTGTTATTTATGCATTGCCCATGAACATGAATATTGATGTATGCGCTCTTACATATACTGCCTGAAACGTGAACAGGTCAGTGTTAGTGTTAAACTAAAACTATTAAATCTTTTTTAAATTGAAATGAATTAATACATAAAATATTTAAAATTAAATAATAAAAAATGCATTAAACAGTAATTAATATGAAACAATTATATTAGACGAAAAACGTAAAATAAAAAATCATGAAATGTTGCCTTGGCAACTAACTAAAATAAATGTAAGTTGACGTACTAAAATTAAAACCGAAATAAATATAAAGCTAAAAAGACATAAAAAACCTAATTAAAATGACACTTAAAAAAACAACGAATAAAGAGCACATTGAAAATATAAAAATAAAAGCTAATTCAAAATATTAATAAATACTGTAATAGTATATAAATAAATAGCACTAAAATAAAATAGCACTGGAACATATGCATCGAGCTATAGCATATCTATGCATCATCGATATTTTGTTCTGAATTGTGTTGCATTCTCAGTATTGTCTGAAGGGGTGCTATAATGAGCTTTAGTGTAAACTGTCTTCTACGATCTGTTGTTTTTTGCACATGCAAGTCAACTGCTGATATGTCAACTTGCCTAACCATTGTTTTGTTGTCGGGAGCAGGTATTGGAACTGTTAGTCAGTTTTCTGACATATTGGCTGTGATAAAGCTTGTTGTGTGTTTGTTTATTGTATTTCAGGATGCGAGTGTGTCTTTGACCCTCTCCCCACTGCTCCAGATCCACGCTGGTGTCCGTCTACTGTTTCTACAGCTGTTTGGGATGTTGTCTTTACTTTGCACCCGTGCTGCCAATATAGCTTCAACTCCCCTTCCCCCCGGTTCCCTACAATCCTTGAAGGCCCATCCAGAATCCAGTTGAGACCTAGTAGCACAATAATGACAGGATATTTAACATAATCCCTAACCACTGACAGAAACAAACTTTTCCATTATGGGACAGTTAAATGCAATTAGAATAATAATACTATAGGGCTAATACCAGTCAAATGAAATCAATATCAACAAAATCTATCTTTGCACTAGAAGTGGCAAGGAATCTGCATCTGAAGTGGCATTCAGATGCAGTGTTGGGGGTAACTCATTACAAGTAATGCGAGTTACGCAATCAGATTACTTTTTTAAAGTAACTAGTAAAGTAACGCATTACTTTTTAATTTACAAGAGAATATCTTAGTTACTTTTTCAAATAAGTAACACAAGTTACTTTTTTTTCCAGTGTATTGATTGACAGCTCTCCTGTCCCCATGTTGAGATAAATCAGAAGATATTACTGTAGTTCTAAAATATGAATATGCATTAATAAAAAAAAACTGATTCAGTATTCCTCAAAATGAATAAAAACAATGCAACTCAGAATATGACGCAAACCTGCAATAATTAAATGTTAAACATCACAAATATGCTTTATGTATTTAATCCCATTCTATTAACCAATGTCTTTGCTTCTGACCGTCGATGATCCAGTTCAACCGTACTAATAAGCACAAATTACTCTAGACAAACATTTGTGTGTCTTTTTTTTATTGCTGAAGTGTGTTGAAATGTCTTCTTCTGCATTCTACTGTACAGACGTAAATGTACTTTCCCTTCAGCCTGAGGCTTATTCATTTCACTTTTGGTGTGAAACGGCTTTTATATTTGCCAAAAATAGAACTTTTATATTTTAAAAACAAACAAGCAAGCCCTGTCCAGATTTAAAAAGTAACGCAAAAGTAACGTAACGCATTACTTTCCATAAAAAGTAACTAAGTAACGTAATTAGTTACTTTTTTTAGGGAGTAATGCAATATTGTAATGCATTACTTTTAAAAGTAACTTTCCCCAACACTGTTCAGATGTATTTGGACTGTTTAATGCTGCTAAAAGATGCCAAAATACACTTACTTTATAATGCTATAAAGTTTGTTTTTATTAATATAAAATAGATTGCTTATAGAACTATAAAATGACACTTTAAATACAATACCAAAACCTGTCAGTAGGTGGCGGCAAACCGCTGTCTTAATAAGTGAGTCATTTATTCATTCAACCAATTCGACTCATTCCGAATTGAAGCAAGTGGCCATCTTTAAGAATGGCTTATTGAATCATTGCTTATAAATCATCTCTAGTTAACTACATTTCTCAGCTAGTATCATCGCTATTTTATAACATTTCATGATAATATCCAAGTCATGTGTCTGTTTTTTTTTTCTTTCCAGAATTTGGAAAAAAATGAATTCATGAATGAATTGCTCTTAATAAATCCATTATTTTCCAATGTATTGGTCGAACCTGGGGCGTTTCCTAAAAGCAACTGTGGTCGCAAGTTCCGTCGTTAGCAATGGAGTTCAATGGAACTAACGACCATAGTTAGCTAATGATGCTTTTGGGAAACACACCCCTGTTTCGCAGTTAAATCTTAAAGGGACAGTTCTCACCTTAATGTCGTTCCAAACCTGTAAGATCTTCGTTCATCTTCGGAACACAAATTAAGATATTTTTGATGAAATCCGAGAGCTTTCTGACACTCCATAGACAGCAACGCAACTGAAATGTTCCCAGACCCAGAAACGTAGCAAGGACATCGGTAAAACAGTCCATGTGACATCAGTGGTTCAACCATAATTTTACGAAGCTATGAGAATACGTTTTGTGTGCAAAGAAAACTAAAATAACAACTTTATTCAGCAATTCTTCTCCTCCAAATCACGTATTCCGCCATTATGTTCTCCGTCAGCAACACCACACGATTGGATGAGAAGAACTGTTGAATAAAGTTGTTTTTTTTGTTGCGTTGCTGTCTATGGAGTGTCAGAAAGCTCTCGGATTTCATCAAAAATATCTTAATTTGTTTTCCGAAGATGAACGAAGGTCTTACGGGTTTTGAACGTCATGAGGGTGAGTAATTAATGACAGAATTTTCATTTTGGGGTGAACTATCCCTTTAAATGTTCACCATTTGAGCCGAAACTTTGTTTTTCAGTTCAAGATTCAGTCTGAAACATTTGTATAGTTCACTCACGAACTGAATCGTTTCAACTATTTTCTCACTCATAATGAGTAAGTCATTGACTGACTGATTGATTCAGCTAATTCATTCAAAACAGCTGATCGAAGTGTCTTCATTGACTCATCTGGTTCGTTCGAATGAATCATTCAGGAACGAAACACAATGTTTGGCAAAACAGAGCAAAACGCTCTATATTGACAACAACTACGCCAGGCTACGTCCCATAATATTAACTTGAACATAACATTAACATTTTTATTCATTTATTATTCATTTACCATTGTATAAAGTTTAAAATAGATCTTAAAAGGAGGGCAAATGATCGTATGGCTAAATCCCGCATCGTTAGACGGACATGGTATTTCAAAACCGTACGGATAGCCGGTCTAGACAGGATTAGAAGAAGACTTTTTCATGTTTATATACACTATACTTGGCAGTGCCTGGTACTAGACACCATTAAACAGAGGGAAGATCTCAACTATCTGCCTCTATTTTCACCTAGCGTGATCTGCTGAGGGTCAAACATTCCCTCCTGTCCGGCCTGTCAGCAACAAGTCATTACAAACAGAGTTCATCATGAAATTCCTCTGGACTTGAGCTCCCATGTCTCTATTTCTGGTGCGAGGTACCAGCCTGCGTGTATTTGAATACTTGTGATGCTTTGATATGAAAATCACCTCGGGATGTTTATTTAGAAAGTTAGAAGACAGTTCACAGATCACTCGTTTGGCTGATATGCTCATCAGAAATCAGCATAATTAGCTATTTATGTGCAGGTGTTCACACACCCTGTGTGTGTTTAGAGGGTCTCTGAAAGGCCTCAGGTGACAGCAGTCTATTGTTTGGCTTGTAGACAGATTAGATTGAGATAACAGGTATTTTTTTCAATGTGGCTTATATGATTGCCATTGAGCTCTTAAGTGTGTGTGGTGTTTTTCTCCTTAGGGTAACTGACCCTGAAGTAACACACACACAGCTCAGGTTCATCTGTTCAAATGCGGCTCATTTTACATGATTAACCCTTAGATTCCCAATGAGTTGACGATCTTTTTCTCTGATTTTTTCTTACAACATAAATAAGAATAGTCTTACTGTACATCAAGTGTGACTTCAGAAGCCAGTGAATTATTTAAAAACATATTTAATCATAACTAACTACCACAAGGATGTAAACAAGCTTGTTTTAGACCTTATATAGCAACTGTCAACATATGTTTCTCCATTACATTAACTCATCAAATGAATTTAACAAATTTCAACTTAATTTTTTCAGTTATTTGAGATGATATGAGTCAGTTTAATATAATGTAAGTTGAATGACTTGTACAGACAGTTTGGTTAAAAATTGAACCTAAGTTTTTAATTTGAACATTTGAACATTTTAAAATCTCGAATTGGTTCATTATTGAGTCTGAATCCATTTGCAGTTCAGTTCCGAATCATTGGGATAGTTTGCTCATGCATTGATCTGTTTTCTCACTCATACTTTTGCTTACAATTAACTGAAGCCAAACCTTCAATGAAGAAGATCTTTAAGTTTTGTTTTTCTGGCTTTGTACCACTAGCATGCTGCTTCAAGGTGTCATTTCAAAAGTATTTTCTTGCCAAACTATCCTTTTATAAATTTAAAGTATTATTTTGCAAGAGGTTTTAAAGTGGGTCTGTGGTGGTTAAGACAGCTGGTTCTCATGATTCTCTGATTTCCATATAGACCATTGCCTAAGGTGTAAAAAAAAAAAGGGTTAAAAATTGAACCTAAGTTTTTAATTTGAACATTTGAACATTTTAAAATCTCGAATTGGTTCATTATTGAGTCTGAATCCATTTGCAGTTCAGTTCCGAATCATTGGGATAGTTTGCTCATGCATTGATCTGTTTTCTCACTCATACTTTTGCTTACAATTAACTGAAGCCAAACCTTCAATGAAGAAGATCTTTAAGTTTTGTTTTTCTGGCTTTGTACCACTAGCATGCTGCTTCAAGGTGTCATTTCAAAAGTATTTTCTTGCCAAACTATCCTTTTATAAATTTAAAGTATTATTTTGCAAGAGGTTTTAAAGTGGGTCTGTGGTGGTTAAGACAGCTGGTTCTCGTGATTCTCTGATTTCCATATAGACCATTGCCTAAGGTGTAAAAAAAAAAAAAATGTAATTAATTTCCAAATGATGAAAAACCCAAAGCCTCATTTCTGTACAGGAAATTGGTTGCAAGTAATGAAATCTTACTCGGACTGCTAAAGAATGTACAAAACCTTACAAATAGGCTGCACTCAATCTATGTTTACAATCAAATCTTTTTAAAAAGCTGGGAAAATGAAGCCATTAAAAAGCCATTAAGATAAAATTGTTGTAGTTAATTTATAATATTATTATCTTTTTTAATCAATAATTTAATTTGCGTACTTTTTTTCCACTTTGAAGCTTACGATATGCACATTGTCATGCTAAATAAATGAAACCATTAGTGTAATAAGAACACTAGTTTGTGGTCAGTATTATTATTATTATTATTTTTATTTTTAGAAATGAGAAGAAATTAGTACATTTTATTCATCAAGGATGTAAGAAATTGATCAAAAGTGACAGTATAAGCTTTTATATTGTTACAAAATATTTCTGTTTCAAATAAATTCTGTTTCTATTCATATAATAATCCTAAGAAATGAATCTGCAAATCATAGTTCCATGTAAATATACATTGTCCTGGGTGTGATTATTTCAAAATGACGTTTCTGAAAAGTTGACGAAGTTACGCTGCCTACCTTTTTGTATGTACTTTCATTTGTGATGTCTAAAAATACTGTCTACCTAGGCAGCTCACTAACTTCAGTAATACGGCTGATGTGTGTCTCATTATACAGGGCAAATGGACCTTTTGAAGAGCATCTGCAGGAGTCAGTCACCTATAGCTGCCACAGATGGAAGGTAAAATCTCGTTCATCATGGCTCAAATGGCACGCCACTCCATAATGCAATCATAAACGTGTTCTGATCGTGATAAAGCGTGGTACAGAAGTTTGTTTGAAGCTCTGCACTGTGGCGGAGGGACGTACGACTGTGTCACGCTGGCCAGGGTTAAATACAGAACAGCTCGCCCCAAAAACTGTGGGCGAGGTCACACCCCAGCGAGTCTTTGATGCGTCTTCTCTCATTGGAGTGCTACAGACGCCGTGAGTGCAAGCAGGGATACACATGTGCACACAAACAAACACAGATGGTCTTTCCCATGGAAAACATATGGACTTTTTCCAGCTCTTGGAGCTAAACGGGCTAATTTCCCCAATCTCCTGTCCATCTGATTTAACCTTCCCAGAAGTACCTGATCCCTGGGAGAAATACCCTTAAAGCCCAGCGTGACCGGCCCTAGACTGTGGGAACGGCACTGTTGACTCTTCCCCCAAACGGCTCACAATTACAGAGAGAAGGACAAGCAGACGTAAATTAGATGGAAATCTAGCTGGCCATCACTGCGCAGTGCTTTATAATCAAGCTCATCAGACTCTGGGTGGGTGATAGCACTTATTTGCTTTTTGATCCAAAACCAAGTATTATGAAGACCAATACAGCTGTGGATAGATAGATAGATAGATAGATAGACAGATAGATAGATAGATAGATAGATAGATAGATAGATAGATAGATAGATAGATAGATAGATAGATAGATAGATAGATAGATAGATAGATAGATAGATAGATAGATAGATAGATCTATTCTGATTAAATAAATGTTTTTGCATGAAAAATATCCAATACAATATACCAAAATACCCCAAAAAAACTAATACCAAACTAATACCAATACCAACTAATACCAATACCAAAAACTGTGGTCATTAATACTTTTATTTAAAGAAATTGACCTTTTTATTCATAGAAGTTTGCATTAAATATATTAAGTGGCAATTAATACTTTTATAATATTACAAAATATTTCTATTTCAAATAAATGCTGTTCTTTTGAACTTTCTATTCATCAAAGAATCCTGAAAAGTAAAATTTATCACAGTTTCCACAAAAATATTGAGCAGCACAACTGTCTTCAACTGATGAAAATCAGAAATGTTTCTTGAGCAGCAAATCAGTATATTAGAATAAATTCTGAAGATCATGTGACATTGAAGACTGGAGTAATGATGCTGAAAATTCAGCTGCGCATCACAGCAATAAATTACATTTTAACATATATTCACATAAAAAATAGTTATTTAAAATTATAATAATATTTCACAATATTACAGTTTTTACTGTATTTTTGATCAAATAAATGCAACCTTGGTAAGCAGAAGAGACTTATTTCAAAGACATTAAAAATGTATTGCTGATTGATTTGAATGGAAGTGTAGCAATAGTTCAAGTTAAATCACCATCCTTACAGATGAAACATTTGCACATATGCTTTAAGGGGGGAAAAAATCTAATCTGATATGAAGTAATCTGGAAAAGATGAAGGCATGACTTTTGAAAGAATGTGTTCATGGTTCAGTAAAGGTATAGTGCATTGAACATGGACTAAACATGGCACAGCTGTTGGCCTGATGTTCCTCCTGGTTTGCTACAGTGTAATTCGACCACTTCACTGGAGTCTCTAAATCTCCACAGATGGCAAACGCTCCATTGCAGACCTGCGCATTCATATGCCTGGTTGCTGAAGCCACTGCTTTTTTTTTTACAATCAAGTATATTGATTTACACAAAACATGGAACACAGTAATGTGATGGATTTATTTGTAACGGAATCAGCTTGTTGATTTGCATGCAGGATTATACACAAACTTTAACTAGATCGCAGTGGGTCGCTTGAACAGAGACGTTAAGCGTCACATTACTCCTGAGGCCTTTTAACCCCCCATAACATCAAAGTCTGGCTTTCCTCGCGTCCAGATTTACACAGCTCGAAACTCTTTAAACTTATGCCTGCTTTTGTTGGTCCTTCAGGTGTTTGTGCCTCTGCAGCATGTTGTAAATGTGTATGAAATAAAGTAAACGTAAATAAAAAAATGTGAAATAAAATATTTCTTTAAGAAGCCATTGGTTATATATTTAAATAAACATATTGTTCATATATATTTTTTATATAAAAAAAACAATAATTTTGCTACATTAAATCAGAGGGCTAAATATGACACGCAAAATAAATAAATAAATAAAATAAACTTTTTATTCACATATTTTATTTGGCATATTGTCCAAAAATTGAGAGTTGCAAAACTTAGAATAGAAAAAAAAAAACTATAATAATTAATTATAAATAGGGATGTAACGATTAACCGCGAGCCGGTCGAAAGTCAAAATACGTGACGATTCAAATCGATTGAGATGCCAAACATATCGTGATACATTTGGAGTAGGAGTTTATATGAACGTATCTCTGAGGGGAACTGACTGTCTTTAGAAAAGTTTACGTGGTATTTTCTTTTCATCTCGTCTCTGAACAATACATATTAAAGTAGCGTTCATAAGCGCAGCTCTGCTTTGTTTACAGCGGTAACCCAGGAAACGCTGTATCATTGCTGTTCATGAGTGCCACCTGCTGTCAGAGAGTGAATCTGCATCTCATTCAGCTCGTCTGCTGTTTCCTTCAGATATGTCTTATGTAATATAGTTTCACAAAACTAAAGTCAGACCATTCTGTTTTTGCTTCAAATTTCGAAATTATACAGTCTTATTTAGATTAAATAAAATACTCATGCTGCATGTATGCTGCATCTTTGTTTGGATCATGATTAAAATCCAGCGGTTGCCTCTAATTTGAAATGGAAAGCGCACAGACAAAGCCTTAGTTTGTTCATATTAAGAGATTTCTTTTATTTAACGTACTGGTTTGATTTTAAAATTTCTATTTAGTTTTGTTATATTTAAATTTCACAAAGAAACATGCAGCAATAGCCTAATAAAACGACACCTTTTCATTTACTGTATGTCTTCAATCTCATTTTGTAAAAAAAAAATCGTGAGAAAATTGAATCGTGAAATCAAAATTGCAAATCGAATCGTGAGTTGAGTGAATCGTTACATCCCAAATTATAAATAAATAAATGATCATCTTATCATCATCATCATCTAATTTTTTTACATATCGTCCAAAAATATGATATAGGGAACCATAAAACATAAAGTATATGAACTTTTGTCAGGTTTTCCTGTGATTTTCCCAACCCGATCTCATGAAAGTGCGTATAAATAGTACGCCAAATAAAAAAGAAAACTTGTGGGATAGATAGATAGATAGATAGATAGATAGATAGATAGATAGATAGATAGATAGATAGATAGATAGATAGATAGATAGATAGATAGATAGATAGATCTATTCTGATTAAATAAATGTTTTTGCATGAAAAATATCCAATACAATATACCAAAATACCCCAAAAAAACTAATACCAAACTAATACCAATACCAACTAATACCAATACCAAAAACTGTGGTCATTAATACTTTTATTTAAAGAAATTGACCTTTTTATTCATAGAAGTTTGCATTAAATATATTAAGTGGCAATTAATACTTTTATAATATTACAAAATATTTCTATTTCAAATAAATGCTGTTCTTTTGAACTTTCTATTCATCAAAGAATCCTGAAAAGTAAAATTTATCACAGTTTCCACAAAAATATTGAGCAGCACAACTGTTTTCAACTGATGAAAATCAGAAATGTTTCTTGAGCAGCAAATCAGTATATTAGAATAAATTCTGAAGATCATGTGACATTGAAGACTGGAGTAATGATGCTGAAAATTCAGCTGCGCATCACAGCAATAAATTACATTTTAACATATATTCACATAAAAAATAGTTATTTAAAATTATAATAATATTTCACAATATTACAGTTTTTACTGTATTTTTGATCAAATAAATGCAACCTTGGTAAGCAGAAGAGACTTATTTCAAAGACATTAAAAATGTATTGCTGATTGATTTGAATGGAAGTGTAGCAATAGTTCAAGTTAAATCACCATCCTTACAGATGAAACATTTGCACATATGCTTTAAGGGGGGAAAAAATCTAATCTGATATGAAGTAATCTGGAAAAGATGAAGGCATGACTTTTGAAAGAATGTGTTCATGGTTCAGTAAAGGTATAGTGCATTGAACATGGACTAAACATGGCACAGCTGTTGGCCTGATGTTCCTCCTGGTTTGCTACAGTGTAATTCGACCACTTCACTGGAGTCTCTAAATCTCCACAGATGGCAAACGCTCCATTGCAGACCTGCGCATTCATATGCCTGGTTGCTGAAGCCACTGCTTTTTTTTTTACAATCAAGTATATTGATTTACACAAAACATGGAACACAGTAATGTGATGGATTTATTTGTAACGGAATCAGCTTGTTGATTTGCATGCAGGATTATACACAAACTTTAACTAGATCGCAGTGGGTCGCTTGAACAGAGACGTTAAGCGTCACATTACTCCTGAGGCCTTTTAACCCCCCATAACATCAAAGTCTGGCTTTCCTCGCGTCCAGATTTACACAGCTCGAAACTCTTTAAACTTATGCCTGCTTTTGTTGGTCCTTCAGGTGTTTGTGCCTCTGCAGCATGTTGTAAATGTGTATGAAATAAAGTAAACGTAAATAAAAAAATGTGAAATAAAATATTTCTTTAAGAAGCCATTGGTTATATATTTAAATAAACATATTGTTCATATATATTTTTTATATAAAAAAAACAATAATTTTGCTACATTAAATCAGAGGGCTAAATATGACACGCAAAATAAATAAATAAATAAAATAAACTTTTTATTCACATATTTTATTTGGCATATTGTCCAAAAATTGAGAGTTGCAAAACTTAGAATAGAAAAAAAAAAACTATAATAATTAATTATAAATAGGGATGTAACGATTAACCGCGAGCCGGTCGAAAGTCAAAATACGTGACGATTCAAATCGATTGAGATGCCAAACATATCGTGATACATTTGGAGTAGGAGTTTATATGAACGTATCTCTGAGGGGAACTGACTGTCTTTAGAAAAGTTTACGTGGTATTTTCTTTTCATCTCGTCTCTGAACAATACATATTAAAGTAGCGTTCATAAGCGCAGCTCTGCTTTGTTTACAGCGGTAACCCAGGAAACGCTGTATCATTGCTGTTCATGAGTGCCACCTGCTGTCAGAGAGTGAATCTGCATCTCATTCAGCTCGTCTGCTGTTTCCTTCAGATATGTCTTATGTAATATAGTTTCACAAAACTAAAGTCAGACCATTCTGTTTTTGCTTCAAATTTCGAAATTATACAGTCTTATTTAGATTAAATAAAATACTCATGCTGCATGTATGCTGCATCTTTGTTTGGATCATGATTAAAATCCAGCGGTTGCCTCTAATTTGAAATGGAAAGCGCACAGACAAAGCCTTAGTTTGTTCATATTAAGAGATTTCTTTTATTTAACGTACTGGTTTGATTTTAAAATTTCTATTTAGTTTTGTTATATTTAAATTTCACAAAGAAACATGCAGCAATAGCCTAATAAAACGACACCTTTTCATTTACTGTATGTCTTCAATCTCATTTTGTAAAAAAAAAATCGTGAGAAAATTGAATCGTGAAATCAAAATTGCAAATCGAATCGTGAGTTGAGTGAATCGTTACATCCCAAATTATAAATAAATAAATGATCATCTTATCATCATCATCATCTAATTTTTTTACATATCGTCCAAAAATATGATATAGGGAACCATAAAACATAAAGTATATGAACTTTTGTCAGGTTTTCCTGTGATTTTCCCAACCCGATCTCATGAAAGTGCGTATAAATAGTACGCCAAATAAAAACGAAAACTCGTGGTATTGACACGCAAAAACATCGTGAGAAAATTGAATCGTGAAATCAAAATTGCAAATCGAATCGTGAGTTGAGTGAATCGTTACATCCCAAATTATAAATAAATAAATGATCATCTTATCATCATCATCATCTAATTTTTTTACATATCGTCCAAAAATATGATATAGGGAACCATAAAACATAAAGTATATGAACTTTTGTCAGGTTTTCCTGTGATTTTCCCAACCCGATCTCATGAAAGTGCGTATAAATAGTACGCCAAATAAAAAAGAAAACTTGTGGTATTGACACGCAAAAATGGACTTTGGCGTGTATATGCTACGCGATGGGTAGGTTTAGGGTTGTGGGGTAGATGCGTATCATATGTACGCGAAAACTGCGTATCATATGCACGCCAACAAATTTCGTATCATATGCACGCGAAAACTGCATATTATATGTACGCCAGACACATGCATATCATATGCACGCCAAATTCCATTTTTGCGTATCAATACCACGACTTTTCGTTTTTATTTGGCTTACTATTTATACGCATTTTCATGAGACCGGGCTCGATTTTCCACCAACCACTTTCTGACCTTCAGTCTCAGGTCTGTCCTGATGTCAGGAGGTCATTAAAAAGAGCCGTAATTCACATGCCATGTTCCCACAGAGCAGCGTGAGGAGCCTCTCTCTCTCTCTCTCTGACCCCACAGAAGTGAGGTTAAGCCTCAGAGACCGAAGTGAAAAGGCCTGTCCTCTGATTTATGACCTTCTGCTGCCATCGGATCTTCTCCTGCACCCGGACGCTTTTTGTGAAGCACCGAAACAGACCCTCTCAGAAACCCCCAAGAGTTTTAGGTTTCCAAAGCCCATCGAAGTAAGTCATGAAGCTTTCGCACACACGCAAAGATTGCTATGATATTAGGAGCTCATTTTTATACTAATATTTTATACTGGCATTTTTAATGCCAAGATTTTAGATTAAAATTCACCAGTGTTACAGTAAATGATGTTTAATTTTAAAATGAATGCTGTTCTTTTGAACTTTTTACTCAAAATGTATCACGGTTTCCACAGAAATATAAAGCAGCACAACTGCTTTCAACATCGAAAATAATAAAAAATGTCTCTTGAGCAGCAAATCAGTATATCAGAATGATTTCTGAAGGATCATGTTACACTGAAGACTGGAGTAATGATGCTGAAAATTCAGCTGCGCATCACAGCAATCAATTACGTTTTAAAATATATTTACACTTATTTGGAATATTTCAATTTTTACTCTGTTTTTAATCAAATAAATGCAGCCTTGGTGAGCAGAAGAGATTTTCAAAAACATTAAAAAAATCGTATGAACCCTAAACTTTGAAATAGTCGTATAAAAATAAAGCATTATCATTTATTAAGGTCTTAAATCTATGGAAAGTCAGTATTTGATTGTGATGTATTGTGAAAGTCATTATTATATTGTAATATTAAAAAATAAATGTCACTCTTGGTTCCCGTCTAAGGATGTTTTTTTCTATAAAACATCTATTTTTAGGCTTAGACTGTTTCTTTTGCAGGTGCATGTCTATATTTCTTCCTGTTGCAGCTGTGTTTAGGGTAGGTTTTTTCTCCCCCAGCCTTCCTGCAACACCATTATCATGCATTATTTTCAACTGAATTATTTTAGGTCTCCTCCATCCCGCCTGTTTATGCCGATGGAGGGACAGCTCATTCTGACTCATGCATGGCTCTAGCATATCGGAGCTGCTGGGCCAGAAGAATTAGGCCAGATTTGCCACACTTCACAACCCCGATGCACATTCCCTCACGGTGCACGAGGGCGATTGTGAACAGAGCCTCATTATACCACCGTGGCACAATGAGAGTGGAAATCTTGGCACGCTTTGTCTTTACAAACCCAGCAGGCTTTTCGGACAGAGTTCAGATGTGTGTAGTGCTCTTTGTCTGCTAAATGCGCCTCAGACTGTATAATTGTGCCTTTACGGTGCTTACAAGACCACCCACAACACCCCGCATCAGACGCAAACCTTAACTTACCCAGAACGTCAGCACTGCTCTTTTGCTGTTTCCTTCAGGAAATGCTAATCTATATTTTCCTCTACTTTAGTTCTTTTCTTCTGCTTTTAAACAACATTATATCTCTTTACACTTCATCGGGAAGTCGCCTATGAGCATATTTGAGCAAAACAAGCTGTGTGAAGTTGCAAGATAAACTATGTGTGTTAATATATAATTATTTCATTTTAATATTAAAGTAAAAAATTTATTTTTTTAGCAATTGCATATGAACGCTTAAAATTGAGTTCTGTAGAAGCCACAAGTCAGTGATGCAATGTGTTTATATTTTAATATTTTGCAGTAAACATCAAATATATTGTTACTCATACACAATGATATTCAATAGTTTTTATACTGTACTAAAATTTATGATTTTATTCCATCGTTTGCAGTGCTTTATGGAATATGTAGTTCATTTACTCATAAAAATATGAATATATATTAGGGTTATTATAGTTAACTAGCACCTTTGTTACTTGAAATAAACTAAAATAAAATATACAAAACTTAAACCTATTTTATTTTTAGCCAGTTGGCAAGGAAACATTTCTAATTTTTAAAATATATATATAATGTAATGTAATGCTGTCATTCATCCCACATGAAAATTGGACGATTAATGTTGCAGGGAGTTTTTATTATTATTATTATTATCTACTTTTATATATGCACATTCCAGTCTCTAGAAAGCAGGGTTGAGTCAGTCTGTTGTGCCTAAATTTGTGAATCCTGACATCGCTGACATCACACTTAGAGATAAAGTTGGGTCAGACCGAGACAAGGTTTGCAAACATGATCTGTGGGCCCGTCCGCCCCGGAGCAGCTGTGGGAGGAGAGGAGCTGTTTGATAAGCAAACGTGTGGAAAAAACTATGCACAGGACCGAAAACAGGATGTCACAGCAAGCCACAGCCTTTGAACGTCAGGATGAGAACTGCTGTTTCATTCACATATGTGTCTAAAGAGAGGAAAGTGAGGGAGAGCTGGAGAGGAAGAGGGTAACCTGAGCAGCCCGGCAAAATAGGATCACCAATTCTTCACACTGTAATATAGTCAAATATTATTACAATTTAAAATAACTGTTTTCTATGTGAATATATAGTAAAATGAATAGAAAGTTCAAAAAACAGCATTTATTTAAAATATAAATCTTTTGTAAAATGTCTTTACTGTCCTTTTTGATCACTTTGATGTGTCCTTGCTGAATAAAAATATACATTTCTTCTAAAAACAAAAGTCATACTGACCTCAAACTTTTGAATGATATTGTACTTCTGATGCTGATAAATAGTGAGGTTCTTTTATACTCATTAATTTAGCATAACTTGTACGTATCATTAGCTTTAAATTGGAAAAAATAAATATGATTGTGTAAGTTAAAATTAGTAATTATCTTCTATAATTGTTTAAAAGTCATTAGATTGTATATGTAAATTTCTATATACCTTTTTCCATCACTCTTTCTCGATTCAAAAGTTTCAAAGAACAGCATGCATTTAAAATACAAATGTCTTTTGACACACAAAATGACACTTTTAATCAATTTAATGCGTCCATGCAAAATAAAAGTATTAGTTTTCATTTTCTGGACTTAATGCACAGTCTACTGGTGTATTTTTCCAAATAATAATAAAATAAGTAAGTAATAATAATACAACTTTTGTCTTAAGAATAATTATCTAAAAGTTGACCCATCTCAGAAATGACTTTTCCTCTCTTATTTTCTGAACCCGTCCCTTCCAAACACCTGAACGCATTCTGTATGTAATGTCTGCTTTGGACCAATCAAATCCCATTTGATAAAATCAAGTCCCACTCTCCAGTTTTCACACTGAATATACTGTTTCACTCAGACATATGTCACATTATGTAAGTAAAATGGGTTTATAACTGTTTTTCATGTGGATGAGGTGCATTGGTGTGTTTGACTGAAGTGCTTTCCATGTTGTGTGCATGCTTTCAGAATAACAGGCCCTTGAGCTTCAGTGAGAAATGAGCTGCGTGTTGAAATGAGACAAGAAAATGGCAGGATTTCACTGCACGGAGACTCAGCCAGCAATCAGATGAGGAGCTGTTCAAAAGTATGTTGTTATGCTGTTTCCCATGCACAAAATGTATTTAGCAACCGAGTTGTGTGTGTTTTCTAACAACATTGAAAGGAATCAGAGACTGACTAGTGTGTAATCATCAGCTCTGTGCTGGCATGCAGCGCTCACTTCAGAGTATTTTGATTTATAGCATTACACAGTTGGACCATGCAATCATTTTTATTTCCAATGACATCATCTATAGTGTTTCCACACCTTCAGCACTTATCTGGTTTGGGAAATATGACACACCTGAGCAGTTGGCAATGATTACTGGTAAGAATTTATTTATATAGAAAGAGGAATTTCCAGTTATTTATTTGAATATAAATACAGTAAAAACTATTGTGAAATATTATTACAATTTAAAATAACTGTTTTCTATGTGAATATATAGTAAAATGAATAGAAAGTTCAAAAAACAGCATTTATTTAAAATATAAATCTTTTGTAAAATGTCTTTACTGTCCTTTTTGATCACTTTGATGTGTCCTTGCTGAATAAAAATATAAATTTCTTCTAAAAACAAAAGTCATACTGACCTCAAACTTTTGAATGATATTGTACTTCTGATGCTGATAAATAGTGAGGTTCTTTTATACTCATTAATTTAGCATAACTTGTACGTATCATTAGCTTTAAATTTAAATTAAAATGAGTAATTATCTTCTATAATTGTTTAAAAGTCATTAGATTGTATATGTAAATTTCTATATACCTTTTTCCATCACTCTTTCTCGATTCAAAAGTTTAAAAGAACAGCATGCATTTAAAATACAAATGTCTTTTGACACACAAAATGACACTTTTAATCAATTTAATGCGTCCATGCAAAATAAAAGTATTAGTTTTCATTTTCTGGACTTAATGCACAGTCTACTGGTGTATTTTTCCAAATAATAATAAAATAAGTAAGTAATAATAATACAACTTTTGTCTTAAGAATAATTATCTAAAAGTTGACCCATCTCAGAAATGACTTTTCCTCTCTTATTTTCTGAACCCGTCCCTTCCAAACACCTGAACGCATTCTGTATGTAATGTCTGCTTTGGACCAATCAAATCCCATTTGATAAAATCAAGTCCCACTCTCCAGTTTTCACACTGAATATACTGTTTCACTCAGACATATGTCACATTATGTAAGTAAAATGGGTTTATAACTGTTTTTCATGTGGATGAGGTGCATTGGTGTGTTTGACTGAAGTGCTTTCCATGTTGTGTGCATGCTTTCAGAATAACAGGCCCTTGAGCTTCAGTGAGAAATGAGCTGCGTGTTGAAATGAGACAAGAAAATGGCAGGATTTCACTGCACGGAGACTCAGCCAGCAATCAGATGAGGAGCTGTTCAAAAGTATGTTGTTATGCTGTTTCCCATGCACAAAATGTATTTAGCAACCGAGTTGTGTGTGTTTTCTAACAACATTGAAAGGAATCAGAGACTGACTAGTGTGTAATCATCAGCTCTGTGCTGGCATGCAGCGCTCACTTCAGAGTATTTTGATTTATAGCATTACACAGTTGGACCATGCAATCATTTTTATTTCCAATGACATCATCTATAGTGTTTCCACACCTTCAGCACTTATCTGGTTTGGGAAATATGACACACCTGAGCAGTTGGCAATGATTACTGGTAAGAATTTATTTATATAGAAAGAGGAATTTCCAGTTATTTATTTGAATATAAATACAGTAAAAACTATTGT